TCAAGATCGTCGTTTTCGTTTCCTTCTAAGCAAGCTATGTGACACACCAAACAGGATCTGCCAAATCTTTTGTACCTGAGACACCAATGTGTTTCATGGCAGTGTGTGTTCCAGGGGACATCTCCTGGCTTCTCTCACTTGCATGCATTTGTGCAGAGATGGAGAATCACTTCTCCTCACTGGAGAGTGGGGATGTTCCTTTCAGAACATGTCTGTTGTGCTAGGAAACACACTGCAGCTGATGCCTAATTGCTGATTTCCCTTTTCTAACCACTGTCTTCTCATTTTCCTGCAGCAGGAAGGAAATCTTCCCTTATCCCTTGGGCCAATGCCCAAGCAGGTCACATTCACTTGTCTGCAGCTCTTTTCAGAAGCTCTCAGCTGTGCAAAGGGACAGCTAGTGAAACAGGGCTGTCGCTCAGCTTTCCCATCTGTCCCAGTCCTCCCACTGGCTCCACAGCCCCGCTGCAGCAGGGGAGCAGCCATCAGGAGGCCCCACATTATGGGGCAGGTCTGTGTTCTTAGGGAAGACAACACTGGCTTGCTGCTGTCCACAAGGCATACAGTGAGCAGCGTAAAGGTCTGTTGTGCTGCAGTGTAGATTGACGTGTTTCCTGTGCACAGCTCAGCTTTGTTGTGCTGTTGTTGAGCTGCCCGGTGAGGTGACTGCTTCGGGTATTGTGGAAAGGAGCTCCGTGGGGCTGTCTGGTCATGTATCAGTGTTGCTGCCAGCGGCCAGAAATTGCTCCTTTTCAGAGGACAATGCTATTGAATGAGTAGGCTAACATCTGAGGAAAAGCTCTCTGGTAGTAGGTCCTGATCAATATGCAAAGTGGTATTAATGATGCCATTATTATGTTTTAAAGAAAAAATATAAATACACATAAATATCCTCAGTTTCATGTATTTCTTTAATCTCTCTGCTTCTGCTGATCACTTGGCCTGCTGCACCACCCAAGTTCCACACCTGTGATTGCAGGGAGTGATTCACTGTGTTGGATGGATGCAGCCCTCACATTCCTTGTGTTCCTGGGCTGTATCAGACACAACATGCCCCAGTTTTCCTAACAGTGCCTTGGCAGCCTTAACAGTGTTCTCCATTTGTGCTGGTGCAAGAGGGAAATGGGGGCCATGTTACTGCCTCTTTTTGCCTGGGCTCATGCCAAGATGGCACACCGAGTTTTGCCTTCAGTTCAGTGGTAATGCTTTTCCAGATGCACAGAGTTCCTCTGTAATTCCAGTGAATGCCTCAAATAGCAGTACACTGCGTGGTCCCTGAGCCGCTCTGAGCATGAGGCAGCTGTGATTCCAGTTCCTCACTGCAGACCATGCGGCTGCCCCATTGCTTACTGACATCCACTCAGCCACACCTTCACCAGTTCTTGACCCGTTGTAATTGTTTACATATTGTTTCCTATCAATTATATATCATGTCATTCAAATTACTACCTTTAATAAGCCAGTGAAACACAGTGACCTGTCAGCTGGCTTCGAGTTTTCCTAATTAGGCTTTCCAATGGCAAGTTAGGCTTTCAAGGAAGCCCTGATAGGCACCTTCCTGCCCTGCTGCTGGTGTGGCTGTGGGCACCTCGCCCAGGGGAGCTCCAGAGCCAAGCAGCCAAGTTTTTATGGCTGAACAAATGCAAGGAGGGAAGGGTTTGCCAGTCCACATGTGGGAGAAGCAGCAACTGCTCCTGCCTCTAACTCCCCGCAGCCACAAATGAGTGCATTCTGCAGTGCCCTGAGTGTTGCTGGCTCCATGAGAAGTGGCTGAGGAGGATAGAGAAAACAGAAAAAGCAGATGGTGGGCAGCTGAGCCCAGCTTCGTAATCTGAAGAGCTGCTTCATGCAAGCCTTGCTGTACAACACACCAAGATCGGGAGTGAACAAGCAAGCATTTCCTCAAGGCGCAAGATGAGAGCAAACACATCCTGAGGGCACCTGGGCCAGCTAGCAGTCACACTCCACCTCCTCCTGTTTCACACAGGTCAAGAGGGCAGCGGCACTCTGCAGCAGCTCTGCGATCGGGTTAATGGGGGCAGTTGGATGCCATCAGATTACACTGTTTAATTCAGTTGAGCTTAAGCACTGACAGAGGAGTGGGAGGACCCATTTCAGCAGCCACAAGCTCTCTCCACCTCTACTACCAGTGGCAGCACTAAGCAGCAGCGGGCTGAAGAGCCAGGGCACAGGCAGCAGAACGGAGAGCCAGCCAGGAGCTTTGGCAAAGGGCAAGGGAGAGGGTGCCAAGCAGAGCCACCAGCTCCTGCCCCAGTGTGTGCCAGAAGTGCCTCAATGGGCTCAAGATTTGCTTTTTTTTGGAGGGGGGGGGAGGGGACAACAGTGTAGAAGCACTTAAGAAGTTGCCACCTCACTGAAAAAGATTAAGACATTGCAAGAAGTTTGACAGACATTAAACCTTCCGTATAAAAACGGACACCAAGATGGATTTTGAAGACCTATTGTCTCCTTCTTTTGCTTTCACAGGCTGCTCGTAAGCACGTTGCATCAAACGAGGGATTCCATCACTTGCATCCTGTTAACAGATAAAATGAGCTGAAGAAATGGGAAGTGGAGAACCAGGCTGAAGTGCAATTGGTCTCAAGAGGAACGCATCCCTCCGAACCCTCAGTCTCAGTACTGGCATCAAATAAACCGAACATTTGTTAACAGGAAAATACTTTGAATTTTATTTTTTCACGTTATTATCAAGTACACAGTTACAATAATGTCACACATCCCTATATGATTCTATGTACTTTGTTTTTTTCTTTTGTCTTTTTTACAAAGTGTACAGAGGGAAGGACGTATACAATATTTAACAGGGTATTTTCTACAGAACAATAATTTATATTATGTCCTTGTAAAAATCTGTACCTTTTTAAACATTAAACTGAAACATCCATTCATAGCATTTGCTAAGCAAATTATTTAAGAATTAAAACTAACCTGTAACTAATGTCAGTACATTAACAATAACTATATTTTCATTTTCTCTTTATACAGACAAATACATTTTACAAAATCCACTTGACCAAACCCTCAATTATTAAAAAAAAAAAAAAGTTTCAACATTGTGCTTTAAAAAAAAAAAAATAAAAAGTGTGTGTATGATTCCAGGCTACGTAAGAGAAAGCAAATGTGTAAAATTGTGTTCTTTGTCTTTCAGCTTATTTAAAAAAAACAAAGTCAAAAATGGCTAAAATCCTATGGGAATTTATGCAGATTTTGTACACTTCTCAGGTTTCCAGTTCGAAATTGCCTGAATGTAAGAGGGGGTGGGGGAAAAAACCAACAACAGCAAAGAAGGGAACTCCGTAAGACGCGCGTGAAGAACCTCCACTGTGTTGTAACGCATCTGATTTGGCAATCTGTAGGCGACAGGCGGACAGCTACAGCCACACACAGCATCCACTGACTGCAGCGGGGACTTGAGCCAAGGCGCAGAGCAGCGCCACGCACTGAGGTGACGGCCAGCCGCCGGCAGGGCTACGCACGGCACAAGCCTGGGGGCACTGGCAGGCAGCATCCAAAGCAGCAGCACTGTACAAGGCAGGGACGGGGCTTTAGGCTCTCCTGAACCAGCGACATAAACACAAGTACTGAAGCTTATTGTGAAACACAGGGATTTGGTAACAAAACCAAATACAGAATGTTTAGAAGGTGCGCATCTGAGAGGAAACCTTCGTCCCTTTATGGCCCCCAAATTGAAATGGTTACTGAAATTCCTGTTTAACAGGACGCTCACCTGCCTACAAACAAGGGAAAGAATTGGGATGGGCTTTGAATCTTTGCCAATAGTTAGTGAATGGTTGGTTCCAAATCTATCCAAATTGGATCCAAATTCTGCAATGCACAGCCAGCTGGCAACTTCAGGAGGGGATCTGAGAAAGGGGAGTCGGTCTGGGCCCTAAAATCTGGCATAGAACAAAATCTTTTTTTCCATTTTTGCCCAACAGTTGTTGTTAACGTACATGACTTCACACTTTGTACACTTATTTACTCTGCAATTAGCAAATGATACAGCACTGCTTTGTAATAGTCTTCAGGTGGCAAAACTGCATATAATAATTGTAATGTTCTCCCAGCTGTTTATAAACAGATTACAAGAACTGGGTTAATTCTGGATGCTGTACTCATTAATAAGCAGCAGCTCAACACAGCTGCTAATGGCTCAGGAAAAACATTCAATTTAGAAACAGTTCTGCTACTACCCTACATTACTGTTCTGATGAAGCATAGCTACATGAAAACACCTCTACTCCTTATGAATGCAACTGCCCCGTTCCGACCGCTTGAAGATCTCAATGTCAGCATCTCATTTCCAAAATCAAGGCACCTCCTGATCTTACATTTTATTCTAAGTCAACTGAGAATAGAAACGTGACTCAAACAACACACTGTTCTTCCAAAGAAATGCTAATACACAGAAAACCATTACAACTGAGGTACATTTACCGGCACGTGCAGATAGTTGTGACCTATTAACTCTGCAAATGGAACAACAGTATGTCATGTTTCCAACACCAAGCCAACAGTAAACTGAAAGGAAAAAACAACTCCTCTGTAACACGCAAAACCTCTCCAAGACAAAGAAGCACAGAACAATAAGCATGTTTGAGCATACTTCTAAATTTGTCAAAGATTAAAACAAAAAACCGAAAACGCCCCAAACCATTTTAAAATCTTATCTTTGAAATCTGAATTAAAAAGCAGAAGTTTTCCCGCAATAAAGTGAGACGTGTAACCCCTTAAAGGCAACACAGTTAACTTGCCACAAAGTCTGTATAGTCAGAACAAGACAATCAGGTGGGCCCTAGTGACTTTAGCATTACAATTCCCCATTTCATACACACCTCTGACAATTTCAGCAAGAGAAATTTCATAGTTTTAAAATTCACAACAGAACTGCATTAACATGGACACTGTGAGTATCAACGAGGTCAGTAAGATAAATATACTTAAACTATTACGCCTGAAAAATTCATTAAGAGACAGGGTTTACTTTATTAAATGCAACTTTATTGTTGCCATCTTTTCTTCATTTATTAAACAAACTGAATAGAATTCAGAACACGCTATTGAACAAAAGTATAAAAGTCAACTAGAAGCAAGAATCCTATTTTTATACAGCAACAAATCAAATGCACAGTATGGGGGTATTTTTTTGTTGGTTTTTTTTTTGTGTGTGTGTTTGTGTGTGTGATCGCAGGTGATTGGCTTTAAAATAAGCTAACTGCCCGAAAGGCAAAATTCCTTTGCAATTCCAGCCGTAAGTCTTTGAAAGAGACTTTAAGGCAGCCCAACATCTTTATGATGCCGCATAATGTGCTGGTTCTTCTCTGAAGGCCTTCGGAAACCCTTCTTGCAATACTCACATCGGTGAGGGTAGTCTTTTGTATGAATGGAAATAACATGCCGTTTGAAGCCTGAGGCGTCTGTAGTGCTATACTCGCAGTACTCGCATTGATAAACTTTCCTGCCACTGTGTGTTTTCATGTGTTTTTTCAGCTCATTTTGTTGCCTAAAGCCCTTCCTACATCTCTTGCACCTGAATGGAAGATCCTTTGTGTGAACTGAGAGTATGTGGCGACTCAGAATAAATGGATCAGCAATCTTAAAGTCACAATGTCTGCACTGGTGCAATTTTTTACCCTTGTGAGCCGCCACGTGTTTTTTCAGTTCCGAAGGCCGGTGAAAGCCTTTATCACACATATCACACTTATGGGGATAGTCTTTTGTGTGGACTGAAATTATATGTCGTTTCAGATCACTCGAGTTTGAGCTCTTATGGTCACAATGCAAACACTGATGTGTTTTGCTCTCTTGATGCATAAGTGTATGCTGCTGTAGCTCTTTGGTATCTGAAAAAGTCTGGAAACAAATATCACACTTGGACGACGTCTCCTTGCTATGCTTAGTCTTTACATGAGTTTTCAAGTTAGAAGAGTCGGCAGATCGGTATTCACAATATTGGCACTGGTAGGGTTTCTCACCAGTGTGGATTCGCATGTGCTTCTTCAGCTCCGACGGATGACGAAATCCCTTGCCACACTCCACGCAAATATGAGGAAAGTTCTTGCTGTGAACAGCTAAAAGGTGATGACTTAGCAATCCTTGTTCTGCTGTCTCATAGTCGCAGAATTTGCACTTGTGCATTTTATTCACTCCTTTGTCCCTGTGCACCATCTTGTGCGCAAATAACGCTCCCGCGTGAGAGAAGCTTTTCCCACACTCATCACGCTCAATAAGCTTTTCTGTTTTGTTGGTCAGCTTATGACTCTCCAAGTGGTTATGTAAACTTATTTTTTTATTCGTAGTGTAATCGCAGTCCGTGCATCTGTACTTTTTCTTAGTAAGAAGGTGCTCCGGGTGGTTTTTCATGTGCCTTTTCAAGAAACCTCTAGATTTAAATTTCTTTCCACAAATCATGCAGGGATAGACTGTCAGTGGATGACCATCGGGGCCAATGATTATTGCTGAAAAACAACAAAGAAAACCCTTTCAACAACTCTATACTTCATTCCATTCTTTCCTTTCAACCTTAACACCAAGCTGAACTGCTAAGTAAGATCGAGTTAGACACACATGCTTTGCTATGTAATAACCAGGCTTGTTATACTGGGCTAAGTAGAAGAAATGGAGAGAATTAGCATTTTCATCTATTATCATCATCAGGAGAAAGGAAATACTAATTTCAGATGGAGATAACCAAAGCATCATCCAACCGCTCATCAGCTCAAGTAATTCTGAGGTCACACACTGAACACACACAGAAGGCAGCTCGCTCAGCGTTACATAGTAAGCCTATCACACCATCTTCTTTGACCTTTCATCAATCTGCACATTTGGCAGTTTGGCCACCTCCCATTGACTACCATTCCTATGTCCCCAAACTAACACCTCCTTCTTGGGCCATCTGCCAGTTATAATCTGAAGAGGTACCAAGCAGGGATCAATGAGAACACGTTTCACACAGAGACACCTCAAAGCTTTGGAACTTGTTTGCTCATCAGTCTCATTTGTTTATCCTGAATTTGTCTAGGCATGCTAAAAAACTCTCTTATCCAAAAATGTTTTAGGAGAACAGAGTACGCAGCTGGAAATAGAAAAAGCCAACTTGAAAATTAAGACTTGCTGGGTTTACTTATTCAGAGATAGACAAAACAGAACTCCTACAGTTAAGTCATGATTTGGAAAGAAACTTCTAGTATTATTTAAGGCAGGACTACTAAAGAAAAGTTGTGTTCCTTTTCAACTTTATCAGACCAAATAAGCCCTTCAAAATGTAACACAGTAGTAGCAGAAACCAAATAACACCAAAATAGTATATTTGTTCTTACAGATGCAAATAAGAACACTGCAATAAACACTGAGGCAATTTACTTCACAATTAAAAAAGAAAAGGGCATCTATTAAAGCTATCTACCAAAAAATACAATGTTCATATTTACCAGTTACTAGCTGAGCTGGTGTAACAAAGTGTATTGTTCTGTATAATTTCAATGAAGACAAAAAGGTTTTTAAAAAGTATTATTACTGAGTACTGCTTATCAATCTGACCTTATCTTTAAAAAAAGGTAATTTCAATACACATTAAAATCAGCGTAGCAAGTTAAGTTCATCTTTTCTCTTCTTTTCTTTCTTTTTTTTTTTTTTTTTTTTTTTTTTTTAACTTTTTGCTCCAATACTGTCTTATTAAAAAACTTCAAAAGAAAATCTGCACACTTCCATGATCTAGAAGCATTGCCAACAAAACAACTCTCTAAGTATTCTTTTTTAAAAGGCATTACACATCCTATCAGCAAAGCACTTGTTTACAGGCAAGCACGCAGACAGCCACGACTTACCTGTTTGATACTGCCTGGACTCAGGTCTCCTCTTCTTCTTTGGTTTTTGCTTTGCCAGTCTCCCAAGTCCCGCTGACTCATCTATGTGCAAAAGAGCACTTGCAGTGCCATTCCGACTTTCAATGCCATCGTTATTATTACCTAACAAAGCAGGTTTGAAAGTTACCTCCTGTCACCACACCATAGATTATTTGAGCAACAAACTCTTTAATGCTACTTAAAAAAAGAAAAAAAAAAAAAAGATAAGCTATTGTTTTGACATTTAATTAAAGCATTCTAACGTACAGGATGAGTTAAAAAACCACTCTGTAGCTAACTGATGAACTATTCTTGATACAGTGATATCAACCTGGAAGCCCTGGCTCCATAGAACTAATTTTACAGGAGTACACAATTTACAGGAGTAAGTAGCTTTCCATTTCACAAAGAGTTTAAGTGCACTTTTTTTTTGCATTTCTTTGGCTACTAATTACACCCCAGATGTTTAGTATCAGTAAACAAAAACAGGTCACAATGTTTACTGTGCCTGATGGTCTTCAGCAGTCCTGAAATACATCCACATCTGCTCTCATTCACTTCTGGGCATCCGAATTCACCTCACTGAAGTTCCCAAACTAAGTTTCAAAACAGGAACTGTGATCAGCCAATTGTTCTGAACAGCCCACAAACTCACATGTGAAGTGTGTACACTCTTTGTACGCCTCTATTTTAACACAAACTATTCCTACTGGAAACAGAGAGCATGTGTAACGCACAGAAAACAACCTTTGCCTCACAGAGCTTTGTGTTTAAAAGAACAGCACGTGAAAGACTAACATGGAAGACAGTGTAAGATGCTCAATAGCTGTTCTCTTTGTAGAGTGCTGTGAATGAACATTCATGCTTGAATGCAAAAAGAATCAGAACCAGTAACAGCTCTGGGCAGAGCCTGAAGATTCTGATCTGCTAGCCCAAGTGGTGAACAGCAAACACGGCAAGTGATGTAAACATTGAAAATAAAAAAATTTCACATCTTACACACAGATAGTACAATTTGCAATAGGTGTATGAAGAGTCCTTCTAGATGGTAACACAAAAAAAAGAAAGCCTTAAACATGTTCTAATACTAAAATAGAGATGAAGAGCTTTTGGAATAGAATACATAGAAGAATGGGGCTTTGCTATGATACAGCAATGAAACAGGTTTGCCACTGTAAGATCCCATTTGTCATCAACTTTTAATACATCCTGAAGTGGAGAAGAGCTCTGCAAAGTGCAAATGACAAACCTCAGCCATTCTCACGCCTTCATACTTCATTATTTCTTCCCTTCCCCACCACCTCTCAAGTTGCATGCTAGGCTGCTTGCTGCTGCTGCTGACACAGTCACTCTACTGTTTCCTATGTTCTTAACTCCACTTTAAACTCCATCTCTGTGTTCTTAGCAGTCTGCTCAATTTTATCCTCCTTCTCCACAATCACTAAGCATTCTTTCTACAACTGTTTTCAAGTTCATTTCGTTTCATTTTGAATTCCCGCTCAGCCAGACGTCCGTCCTTTCCTCTGCACTGAAACTATGCTCAACTACATTCAGCCAAAGGTAAGGCTGTGGGTGCGTTACCATCCACCTCCTAAGCACTTTTCACCACACACTGCTCCCTGAAATCTTGCCCTCACTTGACTTACATCCACGATTCCAGCCCTGTGCTGCACTCTCAGCGCTTCCCTGTCATTAGATTATGACACCATCACCAAAATTCACATCACGCAGACACATCTCCTAAGTTTTGTCCTCAACTCCACTATTTCTTCTGCTTTGTTTACTCAAAGTATGTTCAGGAGGAGGATGAGAGCAATAAAGAAAAATTCCTAAGATGAGATTTTGCTCTAATAGCCTATGTAAGTTTTGGAAATCAGTTTAAGCACCAGCTGGTGCTCAGATACTAATGTTCAATAAATATTCTCAAGGTTCTGTTATAATTTTAAGATGTGTCCCTCCAGCATCTTTTTTGTTAATTAGTTATTTCCATTTGTGAAATCACGTATTTATATGTTCCTTCCAGAAAACACTCAAACCAAGCTAGAGGCCAGGAATGCTCTTCACAGTTACACTGAATCCTACATATTCCCATCTGCTTTTTCCTCTCCCGAATAAAAACACCCAGAGTCCTATTCCCAATCAATGTATACTAAAACTGTGAAAGACAAGTGTACTTGAGATGCAATTTTTTCAACTGAAAGGTTGTGCACTTCCCCTTCATGACAACATGAAGGAAAAGGTCTGATAAAAAAGGAACAGAAAGAAGCCTGTTTCACAGCTTCTTTCTTCTTCTCTTAATTTTAAGCCTCATTATGCTCAGAAACGATTCTTAGACTAAACCAAGCACAAAAGCACAGACAATCCACTGCCCTCCAAAAACCAACCCAGTATTTTCTCACCAGGAAGAATTCTGTGAATATTACTTACCATAAGCTGCTGCCCATGCTATTGGCATGAAAGTTTTAATCTCATTGTCATCAATTTGCTGTTCATGGGCGACTGCTGCATCTTCCTCTCCTACTATCACTTCCATATAAACCTCATCGGCTATTTCTGCAACATCTAAGAGAAACAGAAATCAAGAAAAAAATTAATAAGAACTGCACTGCTGAAAGTGAAAATCCCTGTTCCCAAATGAAAGCCACCTACTTACTTAAATCTTCGTCTTCGTGCTGAGAATCATTTACGGTCATGTAAACCATTTTCTCCCTTGGAATACGAATACTGCTATTTTGATCAAGTAAGCCAACTGCATGATCATTTTCTGGCTCGCTTTCCACAACGTCTACTGTGCCCCCTAATTAGGAAGACCAGGACAAAATATTTTAATACATTTTGTTCGAATTCTATTCTAAACTGCAGAAAACTGAAAGTTTGCAACTCTTTCACATTTAGACCCACAGCTCCTTACAGCTGACTTGAGAGAAACCATCGTCTCTAGTTATGCAAAATTTCACATGTCAGGTTGGAGTATTCTAAAATGAGCATTTTTTACCTAAATCATCTTCTCCAGGGTCTGCTTTGAATATATAGACCTTGATGACTTCTGGACAAATGCCATCCACTTTACAAGATCCACTTTCTGACTCTGCTTCCATGGTAATTTCAGCAGAACCTTCATGTTCTATCTTACCAGCATCATCCACTACAAAAACAAGTTATTAAAATTATCCAGCCATATACAGACAGATTTATGAAAAATTTTATTTCTCAAATTTGGAAGCGGTTTAAAATTACATTGTGAAAAATAACCTACCCGTACGTAATTCTTTTTCATGTCCTTGAAATCAATGTCAATAAGCAAATAAATTCAAGCCACATCTTCTAGTTAAGGGGAAAGTGCAAGTGTATTGCATGCCTAGAAGCATGAGCACCACACCTGGCAACACTACTAGGGAAATGGTGATCTGCAGCAAGATGGTGGTAGCAAGGAACAGCACGTCAGTACTTACTCTGTGGTGTAATTTTACTTATTCTCAGTTTCAGCTGCTTTCCCCTTCGCATCTAATAAGCTGTTAACCATTTATTTTCCAAAGCATTATCTGCTGCTCCACTCCCTCTAATGTAAGTGCCATTATTTCTGCAAGTTCAGTCTGGTTTCTTGCAAGGTGGTGTTATTACCGCTTTTTCTGCTGCACCTTTTCTCATCCACTCACAGTTTCAAAGCACCGCCCTCACGCTGCAGCACCTATCCAACTCACAGCACCATTACCAGAGGGGACCTGCACTGGATTTTATACCGCAGTCCTACAAACTCTCCTAACTATCATCTCAAATTTTCTTTTCTCCCTCCCAGAAGTGAGCTGACACCCAGTTCCTGCATGAACTGCCACAACTTGCCTGGGCCTCCCACACAAGCATGGCAAGCAGCCAGTTTTCTAAGGAACATATTTCTGATTTTAAGACACACACTACACGGGCACATGCACACACACACCATCTTACTTTTCCAAGCATGGGTGTTCAAGAAAAAACGCTAAATATGCACTAATAAAATCCAATCTAGTATTTCAAAACCTCTACACGATCTTCCAGTTCCAAAAGCTCCACAACTTTCTCACAGCGTTAAGTTTATTTAAGAATTCTTCATGTGACAACATGCCTTTGAAATTGGTGAGTTCACTGTTAACTACGTTTAAAAGAAGATCCAGCTCCCTCAGAGCTGAGTGTACCTTTGATTCATAACATGAAGGTATAAGACATACACTAAAAAGATGCATTAGAACAGTAACTGCTGCAGCATTTTTAGCTACCATGCTTAGCACATAAGAACTTTTAATATAGGTGCTCCTATCTTTCACTGGCACTCACAAAACTACCCTCATAACTACAGCACAACTTTACTACTCAGTGACTGCACGTCTTCTCTCTACTTGAAAATCTACTCAAAATTAAAAAAATATAAGCTCAAATATAAGCTCAGAAGATCATTTTCATTACTGTTATTATTACTGTTGTTCAGGAATTCAGTTCAGTTCAAAATCCAGGAAGTCAATGAACTGGTTTTTGTTAGATAAAAGTAGCATGCGTTCTGTCTTGTGCATCAAACATGATTGGTATTTAAGTATTTTTTCTCAACATGGCACCATTATTCAAAAAGAAATACGAATAAAGTTAAATGCATTAACGAGCACTAAAATAAATTAGCTTCCTTCTCTCCTCACAAGAACAGCAGCAGAAAAAAATCTTAATACTCTTATTCTAAGTTCAGAATCTGTGACAATTCTACAGTTCCCCTTTCAAATAACACAGTAGTTAAAAAAAAACGATGGCAAGGGACTACTTAATGTCTTTCAGCGGAACCCCAAAGCATTTCAGAAGTAAAAACCCTTAGATGTTGATTTGAATCACATCATTAACAGTGTAGCTCTACAGTTACACACACTCAGTTATTGAGTGGACTTTTATCAATTCGTCTGCATGCGCATCAAACACCAAACTTCACTGCAACTCTGACAAAAAGAAGACTTGCTTTGGTCCCTACTAGATATGGGTAGTTGCTCTCCTTTAACTTGGCTGTCGCCAGTGTCACACATGTGTACTTGGAAGGCTTTCAAATCAGCGTAGACTGATTTTACACCGCTGAAGCCAAAGGGGAAGTCTGCCACCAAGTTCAACTGATGCTGGAACATCAAGGAAGGAAAACTACAGCTGAAGCAATTAAAGAGAAAAACCTACATGCACTGTACGGAACAGGTTGGTTTCTTTCAACAAAAACAGAACATGTATAGAAATATCCACTGATAACATTTACACAACAGAAGAATTCTGGACCTTAAAAACACACACTGTTTATTCTTTGAAGTAAATTCTCCAAAGTTCAAAAGCATGTTTAAACGACATGATTAAAATAAAGTTCCCTACATAATTTCTAGTTTGTTTATTCCTGACTTCGCTCCATACCCAACAGTATTTTTAAAAGCACAGAACTGTATGGGTTGGAAGGGACCTCTAGAGATCACCTGGCACAGCCTTCTGCTAAAGCAGGCTCCCTACAGCAGGTTGCACAGGAAAGTTTACAGGCAGCACTGGAGCACCTCCAGAGGAGACTCCACCAGCTCCCTGGGCAGCCTGTTCCAGTGCTCTGTTACTCTCACGGTAAGGAAAATCTTCCTCGTGTTCAGATGGACCTTTGTGCATTCCAGTTTGTGCCCACTGCCCCTTGTACTGTCACTAGGCACCACTGAAAAAAACCTCGGCCCCACTCTCTTGATATCTGCCCTTCAGATATTGATAAGCATTGATAAGATCCCCTTAGTCTTCATGCTGAACATTCCCCGGTCTCTCAATCAAAGCACTGTTTAACAGCCCCATTCAAATGTAATGAAATTGATTTGTAGAAGTACAACGCCAACTCTTCTCATACAAAAGGAAAAAAAAATAATCACTCCAACACAAGGTAAGTAACACAAAGTAAGTCCTTGAAGGACCTGAAAAAGTAATAGTATTTGCAGTATAATAATAAACAGGAAACATGAAGAAAAGGAGCATGGAAAGAAAATGGAATAGAAAATAGGGAGAGAGAAATAAGGCAAAAGAGAAGGGGTATCTATCCCACAAAGCACCACTTCCACAGTATTTTGTCCTACGGATACACATAAGCACTTATCTATACAGATTCTTTAACTCTCTGGTAGCATTCATGAAATCTGATTTCTATTTAACGCTTTCCTTACGTTTCTACATTTGCCACATATCTCAGCCCCGCAATCAGAAAAAAATATTCATATTCATAACTACTTGACTGATCAACATTAGAAACCGAAGCTCTGGTGACATCCACAGTTTTCATCCAAACTCACAGTCCATTAAAGGATCCCACACATCTTCCTCCTTGAAATTACAAAACACACAAAAAAAAGCCAACCTGACCAACCTTAAAATCATCATTTTAGCTTATAGAGACCACTTCTTTTCAAGGAGACACAATGGGTTGTTATTAAACTTAAGTCACATGCTAGAAAAAAAAAGGAGTAGTGATATTCCAATACACAAAAGAAACTACCCTATTTACCTATTCTTAATGACAAAGGACCCAGTTTACTCTCTTGCTTTTTCTGAAATAATTAAAAGCATGCTGCATTCCTCAGACAGAGCGCTCAGTTATCTGTAGTACAAACATTTCACTTGTACCTCGCTTGATAACAAAGAATTCCTAGCCCACTTCAGTTATTTTTACCATCCAGTTATTTCTTTAATGGCAAAGTAGGTTTCCTAACCTGTGGGAAAAAGAGAAATCTGCTCTATTTTCATTTCAATGCCTTCCCATTACACATGAGCAACAGCATACCCTGAAGAGTCTGAAGCTCCCCTCAGGGCAGCAATCAAGGAGCATTTCCGTAGCATCTAACTCTCACTCACCCTTCCGGTTCTGCTCCCCAGACCACAAAACAGAGAGAGCTCCGAGGCAACGCCCGGACAGAGGGAACTCTCCCTCCTTCTCACGGCGACCTCCCGAGCAGCCCATCTGCAACAACTGCTGGGGCCCTTCTGAAGGCCGAGCAGAACACATGGCAACAAGTTCTGCCTCGCACAAAGAAAAAGGATTTCCTGAATCTTTAAGAGCCTCAAGGGAAAAAAAAGGTGAGGAGGAGAGGTACCTATTTACACTAGTTACACCAGAAAAGCAAACCAAAACATCTTGTTTTCTTGATTAGAAGTCAACTAGAAGTCAACCACGGTATGGCAGCAGTGAAGGCACGAACATTATGGCTTTGTGTATAAGATCCATTCCTTTCAACCTAGGCATGTTATTCACGGATGAGAACACATGTGCTTCCCCTAACCCTACAAAAAAAGTAGTCACAGTCATTACTGCATCTCTTTGAGCACCCTGGATTCTGACTCCTGTGATGAAACGCGTTCGTTCGTTAGATACAGCATGCAAAGACGCATCTCACTCGGTCAAAGGACATATTCCCTGCATTTGGATACATCACTTAACTTTCTAAAAGGCCAAATTAAATTTGCAAGGTGACCCTTCCCTCTCCCCACACTCCTCTGATCAAAGCCCCTTGGTGCCTCACTGTTTTTATTGCAATTAAACACAAGAATACCAGAGTATTTCTCTTTTGGAACTAGTTCAACTATCTTACTTTGCCAAACTGTTAAAAACAAATAAATACAATCAAACAAGCAAAAACCTTAGTTTCTTTAATACAGTACAACTCTCCTTTGTCAGCAAATGCTGGTGGTTTTTTTTTTTTTGGTTTTGCTAACCACCACCTATCTCACCATTACTGCTTTACACGAGGAGAGCTGATTTTTCAGGCTTTCAGAATCACAACCAAACAAAGCGGATCAGTGTGAGTCAGAACACAATTTATCCTTTCCTGGTCAAACTTTATGGGCAATCACTATGAACTGACTTAAGCCTTACATGAGAGAACAACTGATTTATCAAACCTTCCTGAATCCTTTTCAAGCTACTAATTAGTAGCAGTTTGCATTCTCTGATGAATGAGCATATACCTGACTCAGCCCTCCTGTGTCTCAAATCTACTACAGACCAAAAAAGAAGGCTTCAGGGCAAAATATCCAAGAAAAAAAGGTGAATATATCAATCAACAAGTGATAATAGAAGCTGTGCCAAGGAACATGATTTTGGAGGTGAAAAAAACTTAGTTTATTGAAAGAAAGTCACTCAATGGAACCCACAGGGACTACACTCACTTAAGATACCAAACAGCATGAAACCAAAAAAGAAGGCAGAGACACAAACACTGAAGTACATGTACATTAGTCATTCTGAAACTAGTATTTTCAGGATAAAAGTGAAGAAATTATCTTATTAAAAAAAAAAAAAAATCAGTATAGGCTCTTGTTCATCAGGAACAAGAATGCAAACATTTCAAGGGAGCCAAAAGATAGGAAAAAGATAGCAAAAAGGTTTGGTCTGTGATCTTCTGTGAAACCTACGGCCACAGAAAGAACCCAAAGTGTTACCACCCGCTTTACAGGCAGCCAGATAAATGAATACGGACAAAACCATCCCTAACATCTGCCTTCTAGCTCTGAGAAGCAGCTGCATTTGGCTGTTGTAATGGCCGACAAAATGACATTCCAGCATCCACCCCAGCAGCTCAAGGAGGTTTGCCAAAATCAAGCATGAGCTTACAGGTTAAGACGAATAAATAAAAACCAGGGCTGATTTTACTTCCTTTTAAAAACCACCTACAGCTGAAGAACAGAGACAGTCATCAGAAAAGATCAATAAACACACATAACTGCTGATGCAAAAAGAAAAAAAAAGGAAATGAATTCAAGATAATGTTTTCCACACAGCGAAGAGACTATTTGGAAAGATTGCCTTTACTTGACGGGAAAGCACTAGCCTCTGACTCTGCAACCAGAAGAACTTGTTATGCAGGCTTTAAACACAGTAGGTGGTAACAGGGAACTTCCCTTTAAAATGAGCTGTAGTACATATTTAACATTTTAAACACAAATACAGAAGATAAGTGTTTGGTAACAAAAGCAAACATTTTAAATGCTGCCTGGTTCCGAATCCAAAGAAACTACTTTGCAAGACACTAAGGGAGCGTTTAATACTAAATAAAGTAAGAAAGCATAGAAATACATATGGAGAAGCACAAAATGGAGACTATCTGAGCACAGAAATCAGATTCCTGTCTTCTATCAGGTATGAGCTGCTGACGACACCTGTATCTAACAGGCTCCCCAGCTGGTCGGGTATTTTAGGGCTTGCACTACATGGCATCAAGGAATACTTTCTGTCCTCATCCCTCAACCTTCAACCCTCTTCTCCATTACACCAGAAAAGGCTGAATGGGAGGCGTCTCTATCCACCCCTCCCCCTTAAATGAATGCAGACAATGGTATGCCAAGTGTTTCTGTGCTTGCAACCTCAGAGGTTTCACAGCTGTCCAAGCTGTAGGGAAAAGGTTTGCAGAGAAGAAAGTGAGACAACATTTGGAAGAACAAGAGTAGAGGATACGAAACACACAACTATCACCAGCAGGGCCCTTAAGGTCAGGTCTCAATTCCATGGATGGGTTATCCACTTTGCTGCCTAACTATGCTGCAGGTGCAGAAGCATTTAAGCTTAATTTCATCTGACCTAAGTGGGGACCAGAACTGGAAAGCTCTATATGCAGCATACCGTACAGAGAGAATTTATCTGTTTGGATACACAGTATTTCAGGGAGCAGCATTCCTAATCCCTCCTCTCTCCACTTCGGTATGTCCATGCAGCTTAACTTTACAATATTTTGTATTATCCATATACTGCATTAGCCCACGTCATTGTTTTCTCAGATAATAGAGAATTAACCATACCTCATATAAACTCAAAACATGGCTGCACAAGGTTACTCAAGAAACTCAAGAGAAGATAATTTAAGAAATGCAGTGATCCTAGGTAAGGAGAAACAGCATTAAAATCCGAAAGCACAGAATATAAAATTAAAACAAATTATCACACATGTCAAAGGAAGCACCCAAAGCAAAAGAAAAACAAGGAAAAAAAAAGGTAACTGAAGGAGAGCAAAAAGCATGCCTCATCAACAGAGTTACTGACTGCTGGCTAAAAGTGAAGTGCTTGGAGTCGCAATTAAATGTATCAGCCTAACAAAGCTTTTCTATTTCTAGGAAGAACACATTCAGTAGCGACACTGATGTTTCTAGGTGCTGCACTAAGCGAACATGGCAACAGGTAACAGAATAGGCTCTACTCCACACTAATGGATATCCTCAGTAGGAAAAAGACCGATAATGCACTGTGTTTGCCCACTTTCTAAGCCTTCTGAAATGTGAATCCAATGGATTGTGCCACTGTTCTACCAAAGACTAAGATATTCACAACTGCTTCTCAGCTCTTTTAATTAGCAGCACACCTCTGTCCTGTGCTTAATAAAGAAAAGACACATCCTAAAAAGCAAAGAAAAATACACTGTTGTTTGTATCTACCCGTAAATGAAGTAGAAGAAGAGGTCTTCATAAAAATAAAAAGATAAGGATAAATTGGTGTTTCAAGCTTCTAAAAATCATTTTTCTGACTCTCTCTTTTCCATTACATAAGTTTTAGGTTTTCTTATTGACTTGGCAGTAATCTTAGTAACCGGTACATAAATGGTTGTCCAAGCACTGTCACCCTTATTTTCTTTCACTTCTTACTAAGTATATGGCATACAGTTTACTGGAATTCTTACTCTACTGTTCATATCTATAATCAGTCATCCATTTGCCAGTTGTTCTCTCCATTAATTTCACCAGAAGTTTTAGCTAGTACACATTCCTAAAGATAGCTCAATTTAAGCACATTAGTGAGACCTGCATTTCGTTAAATAACAGAGAAAATCTGGTTTTGGTTCTGTTGTAAGCCTTCATTTAGATATTTCGAGCGTCAACCAAGCCCACATCATAAAAATGTTGATGACTTTACCCAGACACTTACGAGAAATCATCAGGTAATCTTCACAGTTGCCCTTCTCATCTTGATGTTCCACAGGGATCCCATTGGCGTCGATCACTGCTTCCGATGCGCAGTCTGCCACCAAGACTTCTTCAGAAACAACATCTGTTCCCAGAGTATCAGTGACAATATCTGCTTCTTCAACATTATCATGAACTACATGTTCTACATGTCCAACTTCAGGTACATGCATTGACTCGCTCGTCAGTACATGTTCTGGTATAGACATTGCTTCTGCTGTTATGTCTGAAGCCAAAACATCATCTGGAACAGTGCAATGAGCCAAAGAAACCTCTTCAGCCACGTCTGTGTCCAGCACTTGTTCAGGAATAATGACAGTTTCAGATACGTCTGGCTCCTCCATAATATCTGGGCACTGAACATCCTCAATAACAACATCCTCAATGACATCTTGGATTACTACAGAATCTGGATCATCAGGAACAAAGTTATGCACAGTTATATCTGAGTCGACTACATCTGAAACAAATACTGTTTCCTGTACTTCCACAACAATCTGATCTCCATCCATATGTGTGGCATCTGCTCCTGAAAAATACAATTAAAATAACATTTACATTGTAAAACTAACTCAGATGAAGCAGTTAATATTGAAATCATTTCTATTTTACTTCAGCTTTTACACTACGTAGCCATTTAGCAAAACCATCATAATAGCTTACAAGCAATTAAAACAGGCAGACAGATATACAAGAGCTGATAAAGCAAATCCTCAGTAGATGGTAACATGACTAAGATGAACAACGTGATGAACAAAAGGTTACCAGATTTTAGGATCTCCCCCAATCCAAATAACTATTACTTCACAGAAGAGTGGCTCATTTGTACTGCTTTGAGTAACAAAAGCTGATGAAAATCTGAAGTGATGACTCTTTACAAAAGTGTTGATGAAGCATAGAACCTTTAAGCAAAGACAACATGAACTAAAAGCAGTCAATAGCATCTGATGTGTACATTCTTATTTACATATTATCTCCTGACAGACCTGTTGGATCAAAAAACGCATTTGGCTCATGCGGCTGCAATTCAAGCCCATCTTCATCCATGGCCTTTAACTCTCATCAGTCACACTGTCTGTAGAAGGTAAAGAAGAAAGGTTATTTAAGTTATAAGTATTACGCTAAGAAGGTTGCCTCTGCCTGTGCAATACTCATCACAGGAAAAGCTGAAATTCTGGGCATATGAAATTGAACAGAGAACATCTCTTGGCCTGAAGACAGCCTAAGTATCATTCAGAGTCCATCACTTGGCATTCAACAACTACTACTCCAGAACACCAAACATTCATGATTCAGTATGAGGAGGCCAATCTCTTGACTATCCCAGACCATTTGTCAAAAACCCAGAAATACAGAGAGAATAGAAAAAGCTGTGATAAAGTGATATGGAAACATGGTTTTCTTATTATCTCACATGGGGAACAACAAAAAGTCAAAGCCGAAGCAAGTTCACATTCAAGTTTTTTCTTGGGGTAGCAGGGGATGCAATGTTCTCAAATCAAGAAAGGCGAAGAAGATGAAGTTAAAGGTAGGCAGCTAGCAATGTGAAACCCTTCACTTCTGATACATCCCCCTTCATATACTGAAAAGAGTACATGACAGCCAAGAGAAAGTTACTCTTAGTCCACTTCAGGAACTGAAGTCAACAATGTAAACTGCTTCCAGAGTATAACACCATGAGTTTTCAAACTTCAGATGTGTGAATATTTAGAATATACACCTGCCACATGACAATGTACCAATTTGCTTCTATATTTAAAATATCACCAGTTCTCAAAAATTGCCAAAAGTCAAAGTCTGTCAACCGAATGTCTGCTCTTCTTCAACATGTAACACTTGCACTCTTACCAAAAGAGCCAATCAGTACTACAAAATGCTTCAAAATACTAACTAGATTCAAAACTCCACTCTGTGTTTTTCTCTTTACATATAAGCACTGTTACCAGGATAAGGCAAACCTAGTTGGGTAAAACAAGATCTAATGTAAACTTGCACTTAAAGACAACTAGCTTCATAAATACTGAACCAGCAAGAAAACCAATGTTTTCTGCGCAAGCAAACAACACAGACTTCAGCAGTTCTCCTATCCCCCAGCCATTTTTCAGTGATGGGAATCTCCCAGCTTCACTGCTACCTTCACAATAGGCCTAGAAAAAAAACATGAAGATTTTGCCCAACATTTCCATAAGAAACATAATCTTTTCGAAATAATACCAACTAACATTTAAGTAAGTCTTTATGGGGATAAAAAACACAAAGTTGCAACAGTCATTTGTAGCAAACAATCTGTTTCAAAACGTTGCTTGCCTGATGTTATCAACTTCTGCTAGGCCAGAGAACCAAGAATAGAGAAGAAACAAGGTTTCATGCAATCATTACCAAAGATTTATTCCTGCCCAAATTCCATCCCAACACACACAGCCAACTCATTACAAATCTCTCCTAAACATGCTGTCATCTTCAGCACTATTTTCAGTTTTTAGTTCTTGTTGAACTGTTCTCTAACTTCTGGTGTCTCAGTACTTACGTTGTCCATTACTTGCTCATTTGCTCATTTGATTTTTTCAGTTTACAACTACAGTACACTCCCATAACTTACACAAAACCACACCACCCATAAATTTGTAGCAAAATTGTATCAGCTCTCCGGAGATTTTCTGGGAGGAGGCAGAGTCATTCCGGATTAGTGGAAACTCATGGCCTCCCTCCTCTGATGAGGCCCATCAGAAGCTAGTGCTCACTGCCCAGGTTTCGGAGAAAAGCCAAGGCACTGTTTATGACTATGCTTGTGAAGGCTTTATTACCATACGTACTGGCCTCCGATCAACTGGAACCCAATGAGCCTGAAGTGTCAGTTCACCTCCAACCACTGGAGGAACTGGCATTTCTCTATTTCCTGCTTTCGCCATCCACCTGACCACCACACAACCACAAATTCCCACTGCTTATGATACATGCACTCCTGCTTTCTCTACCATGCCCTTTCCTCAAATTCTTCACTGTCTCTGTGAGGCTCTCCATCTTCCAATTGCCTGTCCTCTCACATGTGGGACTCAGAGACAAGCACCACCACATCCCAGCTTCCAGAGCAAACCCACCAACACCATTTCTCCACCGACACCATTTTTTCACCCCTGCTGCCCAAATCCCCAGTGACATGTGCTAAAGCCAGCAAGTCTCTGTTGTGTTCACGATGATGCAATTTTGCAAAGATTCAGCTACCTGTGCTGACAGCCCAGTAAACCTTCAGTTGCATACTCTGCGTACCAGCAAGGCCTCTTCTGTATTACCCAGCTCTTTATACGTACAGAGGCATGACATTCCACAAAATGAAGGCTCATGTTCTACACAAACTGACTGGAGAAGCTTCCCAAGCAACTGAATTTTCAAGACTCAGTCTTTAAAAGGACACAGATTTATGCTTTGATACCGAAAGAAGGGGGAAAAAAAAAATTATCTGCATTTCTTCCTACATAAGGTTTCCCACAATGAACTCTGTATCCAGATCCAGCCAACAAATCCGTGTACACAAATTCCTACACCTGTGCAGGGCCATAGAGGCCTCAAAAGTGCTCCAGTAGGGCACAGACTTCCACTCATACACAGAAATGTGTGCTGTGGGTAAAGGTTCAGGTCAGGCATCTAAAACAGGATTTAAGTAAACTGTTTAAAACATTAAAGGCACCTAATTCAAAATCTGCAGCTCATAAGGCATCCAGGCATTTGTCCATGGGTAGAAAAAAAAAAAAATCCCTAAAAAAATCCCGAAACCATTTCGGGGTTTGAACTTTCTAAGCAGAGGATGAAAAAATGCTGTGTTTCTTCCTGTTTGCTCTTCATCTGATCAGTGGACCAGCACAGTGCTCCTAGGTTCACCACACAAAGGAAGGTATGCCCAGTGGTTCTGCACCCAGTGGCAGCTCTGTGGTGAGACCATTCTGCTGTGACGTGAGAAACATCAAAGCGCCTCACTGTGAGCACCACACCAAAATACCTTCACATTCCTTGGTGATCGCCCTAAACTCTATCTTCAGGCTAAGAAGCAATACCAGCAGTTCGTCCTGCAAGGTTTCAAGAAGGGCAGAAACTCCTCTCAGCTCTTCAAAATATTCCAACAACACTTACCTCAGGAGCAGGTTCTGGCAATGAAGCAGAGATTTCCAGTTCTGGTGTGGGAACCAAAACTCTTGAAGAGAAGCAGGTGCCCAGAAAGAGAATACTTAGTCCTTCTCAGTGTCTGAATCTATATGGTTCTTTGCCCAAAGCCCAGTAATTTGGGAACTGCTCTTCTAACTAGAATGGGAAAAGCCCAGGTACCTTAGCAATGGGTTTCCATCTCTACAAAGAACTAAACACATACATCTTTTACTTGTTTTGAGTCTATTGTTATGTAGATTTAGAACTAATACAACCCTAAAAAACTTCTAATTCGACCTGTAAAGGCAGTTCTTACAAGATGACTTTTACATATTTATTCAGAGACTTGCCTGGTTTTGGTTTTATGAATATGAAGGCAATATTTTCAAGTGAAAGGACAAACAGTAATACACATATTTGTGGAATGAATGCTATTAAGCAATAAAGTAAACTCCACAAGCAAAATACGGCCTTTTCCATAAAACTCCTCCCTGAATACAATCAGTCAAGAAAAGAAATGCAGACACGAAATAGTTATGCCACAAACAAATCCCTGACTTAATAGGCCTAGCAATGTAATCAAGATGAACTAAGAAAAAATGACCAAGCTATCAAGAGAGAGAGCAAAAAATAAAGTTACTTAAAAGGAAATAACTATATGCAACAGAAGTGGTCAGTATTTGAGCTAAAAAAAGAGGGAGTGGGGAAGTAAAGGAAAAAAAAAAGGAGGAAGACCTTGGAAAAGCCATCCTTAGGATAAAGAAATACACAAACTACTCTTCTGTGTACTCCTAAGGAAAGAACAGTTTATCTGTTCATCCAGAACGAGAGGCAAAAAGAACCAAATACCACACAGTGAAACTCTCACTCATCCTAGAATAAAGCAAAGAACAGCAAAATTTCCCATTCTTGTCCAATAGCCCCAGCCCACACTAAAAATACTTGAGTACAACCACAACCACGTCCCCATCATGCCTTGCTACATCACATTAAAAAAACAGCATGCCTCATACATTCCAATTGGATTGGAGCCCTTTGCTGTCTGAAGCTTCGTGGTGGCATGAGACCACCATGGGTTCAGCCTACACCACTATTACAGTGTCTTAACTCCCTACGTGACCGATTTACAGAGAATGCCATGTGCACACATGCTCTCCATCACACACACGAAAGGTTAAAAATGAGACTCCTGCAGCACCTAATCCTTATCTTGGATATAACCCCCACCATTACTGGGTGAATAAATGGAATAAAAACAATGTTACAAAGGTGACAGTGTAATCATTTTGCTGTTTATTTCTTTATGCATCTCCCTCAGTTTTAGCAGGAGTATCAGCACTGCTGTTTTCATTGTGGTACGGTAAAAAAAGAAACAAAAAACAACAAAACAAAACAAAAAATAAGTCTTTTCCTCTTTGTTGTAGTTCAAGGGTGTGAGTATTTGCAGAAACTGGTTACAAAAGAGGCCTTCTCCAGATTTCACAGAGCTGTTGAGCACCAGGCGACACCTAAGCTAACGCTCAACAAAACCTACATTAAAGATATAACCAGTGCTGGACGTCCCTCAGAAACTACTTTCCACTGTGCTGGAGACCTCTACAGCAAAGGGGCCGGTCAGCCTGGAGGAGAAGAGGCCACAACCGAGGGGGGCCCAGAGGGCCGGGAACACTGCGCCTCCTCACCTGGGTCCTCGCTGGCGGCGGGGCAGGACGCTGAGGGCAAACCTCCCACCGCCGCGCCGACTGCGCAAAAACCCGCCCGGCCCAGGCCACGGGCAGGGGGGAGACAAGGGCTAGCAGCCCCGGCGCCGCAGCGCAGAAAGCTATCGCGGGCCGGAAAGCGCCGAGCTCCCCCGCGACTCGCCGGCTGCCAGGCGGGGAGGAGGGAGAGGCGGGGGAGCGACGGAGTGGGCAGGCTGTCCCTCTGCGGAGCCTGCGGCCCGGCGCCGCGCAGAGCGGGGCCAGGGGCTCCCCCCTCCGGCCCGGCCGGGCTGCGCTTAGGCACGGCTATGGCGAGCGATTAATTCAAGATGGCGCCCGGCG